TTCGAGAGTATTAAGTATGGGAAGCCATTGGTATAAACCAATGGCTTCTGTTACCAATTATAGACATTTAAGGATATTTGTCGAGATTTCATAGTTTATTTTGTTTAGGTTAGGTTTCAACTGTTTTATGTATATAGGTTCAAGAATTTTTAGTTTTTGTTTGTTTTCATGTTTAAGTATAATTGTGTTTTCGACAAGGATTTTACGGAATTGTGTGTGCAGCCAGGCATGTTGTTTTTAAATGCCTAAAAATGTTAGTTTTCATTCAAATGTAGTGTCAAGCATCGTGAAAGTGAGTTTGTGGTGTGACCAACATAAATATTTAATTTGTTGAGATACAATCTCCCAAAGGGCACTTGAATTTTGTAAACTTTTTTTTTTTTTTGAAAATCGCTAACTGGGGGAGAAGAATCATTGCTAAGAATTAAGTTGGATATACTAGATTTAGTGTAGTATATGATTAACTTGATTTTTTTTTTTTTGCTAGGATCTGTTGATGTATTAGTATTTTACTAAATTTTTTAGTATATTTTCATATGCATTTGATTATGATATAGGAGATTAATATGTTTGAGATTAGTAGAAGCGGTATTATGTACTATTTGCTTGGTATTGAGATTTCTAAGAAAGCATCTTATTTGTTCATCAACTATATAGTTTGGAAAGCTATTATTAAGTGTTTGTTTTATATTTAGTTCACTGTAAAAAAATCTTTTGTGGATAGATTAGTTTCTGCATGATGTATTAGATTCTTTACAAATTTTTTTTTTTTTTTTTTGTAGTAATATGGGCATTCATTCTTGGATCAATATTGTGATTTTCTTTCTTCATTTAATGATAATGTTATTAAGCTTATCAGACGTTATGAAAAGAATTTACATAAAATAGACAACACTTGTCTATTTTATTTAATGAAACCTGTATGAATGTGTATATATGTATATATTTAGGCAGTAATTTTCCATTAATGCAGGTTTCATTAAATAATATAGACATGTTTTGTCTATTTTAAGTAAATTCCTTTCATATTGTCTGAGAAGCTTAATAACATTATCATTGAATAAACCTAATGTCTCGGCAACCATTTTTACCAGTGCTCATATTGCAATTTTTGCTGTTATCATTTCATGTTTTTACCAGAGCTCATATTACCAGAAAGCTGTAACACTAGGGGAAGCAGAGAAATCAGGTGTGGCTGACCACATATGGAGAGAAAAGGGAGATCACTGCCCTCTGTGGGATCAAGTTGAGATCATAGACAAGGAACACCACTGGAAAATTAGTAAACTTAAGGAATCAGCACATATGCTAAGCCACAAAAATCTCCTGAGCCAACCAAGCATAGAAATGAACACAATATGGGAACTAGTAATGAGTGCCAGAGAAAAACGATAACAACAGAAGTTGCAATATGAGCTCTGGTAAAAACATGCAATAACAGTAAAAATTGCAATATGAGCACTGGTAAAAATGGTTGCTGAAGACATTAGGTTTATAATACCCAGAAATTCATTTACAGATGTCCTCAAGGACACATGGCATGGTGGATAAAGGCGTTGGTTAGATCCCGTGACAGGATCCAAAGAGTGTGAGTTCAATACCTGGAGAACTTTCAGCAGGAAATTAAGAGATAACTCATAACTGATAATTGACATCCATTAAAAATGGAACTAGAACAGTCTACCCAATGAGTGAAATAAAGGGTTCAACATTCTAACCACCTGAAGTACAATGGCTGAAACATAATAAATATGGCGACAAAGATGAGGACAATAGTCCGAATTATGTAAATAATCTACATATATATAATTCGGACTATTGTCCTCATCTTTGTCGCCATATTTATTACGTTTCGGCCATTGTACTTCAGATGGTTGGAATGTCGAACCCATTATTGTGTGTGTGTGTGTGTGTGTGTATATATATATATATATTACACACACAGCCTCACATATCATGCAAATTTTGAAGATCTAATTTGACTACAGTAAATGGATATATAGTTTGGTCAGCAGTACAGACACTAATTTTATCTCTTTTATGATGTGACCCCCTTCAAAAGTTGCATTATATGCAGATATATACAGTATGTATGTGTGGATCTTGACAAAACCATAATATCTAAGGTTTAATATTTTTTTTTTTTTTTTTTTTTTAATGAAAAATCTTTCTTGTATAAAAATCTTATTTTTAATTTCAAGCTAATAGATTAAATTCAATGTTTCCATTATGCAAAAAGCTTTTCTGTATTTCAAAAACTAAATTGACTGGAAAGATTTTTTAATAAAATAATGCTCTTTTTTTGTCATCATTCTCTTAAAAAAAAAATCTTCCCAAGAAATATTAGCTGATTTAAAGTATAATTAATTTCATTTGAAACAAATATTTACTTTGAGTTTAAAATATTGCAAAAATGCATTTTTTTCAACCTGACAATAGCTGTTATGTATAAACATGACTGAAGAAAATGACATGAGTGCCATTTATTTATTTATTTATTTATTTTATTTATTTATTTATTTTATATATATAAGTACTCCATCTTTAAAATTTAGGAAAATGTTCTCTGTAATCTAATGTTTTATTGAATTTTCAAAATGTTGACTTTAAATTTACTGTAGTTATCACTTTTCTTTCCTGATAAATTTTCAGTTTGCCTGTATTTAGTTTTCACTTACTAATATCTAAAAGGCTGAAATTAATACAGAATTTTAAGATTTAAAACTTTAAAAAATTTGAAAAATGAAAACCAATTCTTGTAAAAATTCATTAGTCATTGAAAAAAATAATTTAATCATCTGTGAATAAGCATAATCTCCCATTTTAGCTCTATCTTGGCAAGGGTCATCTTTGCAGCATGTGGGCTAGCATTGTCCTGGAGAAACAAAACTTGTTTTCTGTTTACTAATGCACGCTGTTTCTTCAACAAATTTTCCTGACTTGTTCAAGTTGCTTGCACATATTTGTTAGCAGTATTAGTTTCACCCGCTTTTTAAAAGCTCACAGTGAATTATTCCTTGACATATTCACCATACACGCGGCAAATTTTTTTTTTTTTTTTTTTTTTTTTTCTCCAATAGTGGTGCCTTTGAAATTTGTGTCAAAGGATCATCCGGTGATAACCAATGATGTTTCCTCTTAGTTTGTATGCATGATCCACTTTTCATCACATGTCATAATTTGATCAAAAATGGGTTCTTTTGTTAGTCTACTGCAATGAGAAGAGCATATGGTAAGCCTCTGCAGTTTATTTGCTGGTGTTAAGTCATATGGTACCCATTTGCTTAATTTCCATTTCTTCCCCAGCTGGTGCAAATGCAGTCTTATAGTTTCATTGCTTACATTAAACTTTGAAGCTAGTTTATGACATGTTAAACCTGAATCTGATTCTATGGCTGCCTTTAAATCCTCATTGTTTAGGGATATGTCCAGCTCGAGGTTCATCTTCGAGGGTTTCATTGCCACAATGAAACTTCTGAAACCAGTTACATGCAGTTCGTTCACTTACTGCACCTTCGCCAAAGGCTTTACATAGCTTACAAGAAGCACATGATGCACTTGTACCAAGTTTAAACTCATACAACAGACAAGTACAAATTACCAATTTTTTATCAGTCATTTTGAGTGCTCTGAAATGAGAAATAAAATATTAGTTATATAATAAAATAACTGAATCTTTCAATGTACTTGTCAATACAAGTTACTTCCTGTATACTTATGCTTGTTAGTAACTAAACAGCTGTGCCAGAAAGAAGTTAACAAATCAGCAAAAATATATATATATATGGGGTGGGAAGTTGTCAGCTTTCACGGAGAGAACACTAAAAATGTAGGGATATTTAAATTTTCTGGCATTTGACATGTAACAGCTCATCTTCATTTTGTTTCCCAAGTGAAATGGAAGAACCTCACTGCAAATTTACTGTGGAAGACTCGGAAATCAGTACACTTTCTATAGATTTTTGTATCAATTACTTTCTCCTTTAATTAAACAGCATTAAATAATTAATTTCATTAATAATGTTTCAATTTTTCTATTTTTGTAATTGAATTATCCAACAAATGTAACATAGGGAAATTGAACACTAGGATGTTCTCAATGTACTTCTGTCCATGATCATAAGATGCTACAAAAACAAAATATTCACAGAAAACTTGTTACATGAAGACTTTCATATGGATGTCATACATTGTATTCACCTCCTTCAGAAATTTCTAAACTATCATTTATATACAAGATTTTTTTTCTCAGATAAGTGAATGAATCCTTCATGTTTTCAAGAAAGCAATTTCTCATCAGACCCTATAGACTGGTGCTACAAAATCAGTGCTTTACCAAATAACACATCACTTAAAGACTGCAAACAGCGGAAACAACAAAAATATATAGCATTTAACTAGAAGTAAAAATAATGGTGTAGTAAAGATGTTAAGTTTTTACACATCTTAAAAAAGTTTCCAACGGTACTATAAAGAGTGGATTTGAAGTTTAATTTCCTGAAAAACTGTTTTAAAGATAAATTTTGCTTGACAATAACACTTAATTCTTAACTACACTTATGACTATCGTTAATCTGTAATTTTCAGTATTCAAGCACATACTGCAGGAAGTAATTATCACAAGATCAGTGGCATATTAAATTGCATTAGTCTGCTCTGAAAAATTAACCCATTAATTGCAGATGAGAATTTCTGTAACTGCAGTAGGAATTCACATTTCAACCATTGAATTGAAATGACTGAACTTCCTGTCATGTTCAATTTATGGATTAATTTTGTACTCTTTACTTTCAAAAATGTTCATAAATTGTTTTAAGATCTACTTTATTGGTAACTTCAATTCTATTCAGTATTTTAATATTTGATTGTATTTTATATGGATGTATTCTTTGTTTTATGTTTTTATACCTAGTTAAATTTAGCTAGGTATATGACCTTTTTAATAATTTATTTCAAAATAACTTATTTAGCAATTGTTTTTCTTTTTTTTCATTTTATAGAGCTATCACCACAAAACACCCATAATTACATTTTGGAACCAAATGTACTTACTTTAGAGTGCTCATTAAAAACGCCAAATGCTACATGGTATAAGGATTCAGTAAAACTTCATAACAATTCTAATGGCTATATTATGAAATCATTTGGCAATAATCCATGGATACACAGTCTGACCAAAACCAACACTTCTGTTAATGATACTGGTAAATACAGATGTGCAACTGCCGCGAAATCATTTAGTTATAACGTCGTAATCTTCAAAGGTAAGTTTCAGTATTAATATTGTCTTGAAGATACTTTGTCTACTTTTTTGTATATGGATTTTTAAATAAAGGATATAAAAATCACTTTACTCAAAGAATATATGAAATATAACCAGTTACTTGAGTGGCTTGTAGTATTTGAATTATTTTCTTTAAACATGTATTTAGGATTCCCTTACATTTTACAGTCATGCAGGCTGATAAATCCAGGAAGGAAAAAGCCAGTAGTAAAGTATTGTTATAAGTCAATACAATGTTCCAGTATCGTTGCCTAAAATTTTCTTTTAATTAACAAGGCTAAAAATCTAGTGCTCGACTTTTAAAGAGTTGAATTCTCTTTTCACTTATAAATTGATTTCAAATTGCCCAAAATTAAGTAAATGTGATATCTGGTTACAAAATATTTTTTAAACATTGTGGTAGCATAGATACATTATTGGTCATAAAAACTAAAAATTTGACTAAGCTGGTGACTATAACAAGTTGTTTCTTTCTCTGAAGAAATATCCTGAGAGCCCCCCCCTTTTTTAATTAATATTTTTGGCTTTTTTTTTTTTTTTTTTTTGCTTAACTAGCATAAGTGAGAATCTACTTAGTAATTTATCAGTTGATTCTGACCACATGATAAAAGTTGAAGTGACATCTAAATTTTTATTTTACTTATTGAGCCTGAGTTGATAATTTGTCCCAGTTATTGGATACACCAACAAGCAATAACAATATGATGCTATGTATCAAAGTATCTATCAATTTGATGTTATTCACTCAATGATAATCATTGGAGTTGTTGAATGCTTCAGTAGATATCATCAAATTTCCTTTATATTCAAGCAGTTTAGGCATTGATGTGGGAACTAGGCAACTATCAGGCCAGCTATCAAGTAGTTCAATGATAAGGATTCACTTCTTTGGCTAGACCTGTTTAGTCTACCCTATAAAAATCACATTTTACTTTTATCTTCCACAGTTTATAGATCTCTCAAACTATTTATCCATTTTCTCTTAAAATAAATGTTAAAATTTACCTGACTTAATGAAATAAGAATCGTATCTAAGTGTTCCTTGTCAGGTGACTCTTCTAATATTGAAATTTGTATAAATTTTTCTATTTTGCAATTGTTTCAATGTTTAAAAATCAAATAGATGATTGAAATGAAACCATTTTTTCAACTTTTGTCACTTTTCTCAAAGGTTATGTATATTTATTTATTTTTTTTTTTTTTTTTTTTTTTTTTACCTGAACCATACAACAATTAATACATTTAAATAGCTACAGATAATTAGTAATTTTAATTTCTCCAGAGCATTAACTCTATGTATGTCCAGAGCATTTTCATGTGTTATCCAAACTGTTCTATGTATCACATAAAAGGGTTAATTTGAAGTCTTTAAGATAAACTGGTTTATTAGTATACATCTAAAACTAAATCTTTGTTCCATTTCTGTGAGAATGGATCTACAATGATATTCTCTTTTTTTTTTTTTTTTTTTTTTTTTTTTTAAACTAACACAATTATATACATTACAAAAAATATTTATATCAACTTACAATTTTTCTTTTTCAGTAATTACTCACGATATAGTTATTGCGTCTAAGGAACCAGCTTTAATAAAGTGTGATTTACAAAATCTTGACAAAGATCAGGTTCAAGATTTTTACTGGATTAAAAATCGAACTATACTCACTAAACGTCCAGAACTTAAAGGTAGATACACTGTACACAAAGACAATTACACTCTTGAAATTCCTAAAGCCAGTAAGTAGCTATTTTTCTTATTTTTCATTGTTTCATTCTTAATCATCTGTTATTTTTATTTCCTTTTTTTTTTTTTTTTTTCTTTGACCATGCTAGGTTACCTTTTATTCTCACCAGATTTTCCTGACAGTTTCTTTAACAAATATCTTCCCTGTTTTGAATTAGTATTAAGTAATCTTATATTTTTATTGAATGTTAGTCCAACATTAGATTTTGTTATCAATTTGATAATATTGCAAAACAATATCAAGTTTTCAGCCTGGCCAAGTTGAGAAGTAGAGAATTTTCAGAACCCCTTATAGTTAATAGAAAATGTGTAAATATATTTTATTAATATATTGACCTTTTTATATGGAAAAAAAAATTAATTTTTAAAAGCTTCATGTGCATTATATTCAACATTTAAGAAAAATTCTAGTTACTGTCACTGCAATTTGTTTCTAATAATGACTTTTCACTTAGTAAATTTCTCTAATGGAATGCAAACAATTAGTTCTGATCTGAAGACTTTTTTTTTTTTTTTTTTTTCTCAGAACGCAGAGATGCTGGCCCTTATTTCTGTGTGTTTAGTATTAATAAACGGGACTTTTCCATTAATGTGAACATGAACAGTAAGTTTTTCTTTTCTCTATCTTGTTTAAATATTAATTCAGTATTGATTATGGAGGAAAAAAAACAAAACTCCTTGCTACTATGGTGTTGAATAATATATACGAGCCAATGACTTTAAAGGCCACTAATATCTGTTTGAAAGTAAAATCTCCTGTATTTAATGAAAATATTTTAATTCTTAAGTTACTCATAATTTTATTGTCAAAAATATTCTTAAAAAAAAAAAAAAACTTGCCATTTTTCTCTATTGCTAACTGAATTTTTTTCCCTGTTGCAGTGGCTCCATGGATTGAATCTATGGAAAAATCTCGAAACTTAGTACAGACTGACAAACTCCACTTGGAATGTCATGTTGAGAGTTATCCATTTTCTACTGTCTATTGGAAAAAAGATAATGAAACTTTCAAGAATGATGCCAGTAACAGAGTCTTTACAAATAATAACAGAACACTTATCATTTATGATCTCCAGTTCTCTGATAAGGGCGAGTATACATGTGTTGCTACTAATATTGTTAACACCACATCTATGACTGTCCTAGTCCGTGTCAAAGGTAAGAAAATCTTAAGTATTTTGTATGTGCATTAATGACAAAATTAGTATGTTTACTATTTTTTTTCTTTTCTTGAATGGCCTTATTTATTATATTGATATTTACTTATTGACAAATCATTTTAAAATCTTTGCATTTCAATTTTTATTTTTCAGACAAGCTTGCTGCTTTATGGCCATTCCTTGGTATTGTAGCAGAAGTTGTTATTCTATGCATCATCATTTTCATTTGTGAAAAGAGGCGTAGCAAAGATATGGAAGATGAATATGAAAATGCTGGCCAGCAAAGCATGTATGTATATAAAAATTTTCCCACACTCACTTCTTGATAACTTTTCATCATTCTCTTTTATAGGAATGTTATTCTTCAGAATACTGTACATATTCCATGATTTTTTTTTTTTTTTTTTTACATGTCAATGTATATTACTTAGATATTTGCTCTAGAGTTCTTAAATAATTTGCTTAATGAATTGGCCTCTTATTCTACTGAAAGCTAAACCTTAATTTGGTTTGTAATTTCACAGTTAATAAAGACTAATACTATATTAGTAGAATTTTGTATTTTACTCTTTAAGTTGAATTGATGCTTTGGTAACCTATGTGCTGGCAGATTGTGCTTGGACAAAACATAGTTGACCTGTTGGTGACATAATGCACAAATAAATTTCTCAAACTTAACACTCTGTTTTCTGTGTGTACCTATATGTATGTCCATATATTTTACAGTTTGTTATTTTACTTATTAATGTAATTTACTTTCAGGCCAAATGCAACAGACCATAAAGGCAAAGATGAAATCAGACAAAGAAATGTGAGGACATAAATGTTCTTGGTATCCCATAACCTCTTTAGATTTTTTTTGTGATCTCATTTTGGGAATTGGAAACTAAGGAAGTAAAGTCAAAATCTAAAAGCAATTTTTGAAACTTCAGTTTTTTTTGTTTTTTTTTTTTTTCCCAGATGTTTTTCTTTATCTATTTCTCCTTTTAGATTACTTTCACTGCCCTAAATTTTTTTTAATACTGAATTAAGTAATTGAGTTTTGTTTCAATATGCTCCAAAAAAAAAGTATGCTTTTTTTTTTTTTTTTTTTTTTTTTTTTTTTTTTTTTTTTTTGTAAATATTTATCAAAGTGATCATCTTTGTATTTTATCTTGGCATTACATGATCTATAGAAGTCTTAACTAGCCAAATATTTAAAGCTTTTATTCAATCCAAAGTTAACAGTTGATTTCTTCCCCTCTAATGCTCTAGCATTTTTCATTTAAATACATTCAGTAGATTCTTTTTTCTTCATAGAATAACCTAAATTTTCATAAAATCTTTGCAAGATATCTCAAGTATGTGCTCGCACATTTCTTCATACTGCTGTGCTGTGTCATTTAATTAAAATGAAGCTACATTTAATTTTTTCTTTTATGCTTTGAGATTTAAATAACAAAGCAACTTTTGGATTATGTGCCTCTGACTGACTTCCCTGTTTTTCCAATTATAAGTTTTCACTAATATTAATCCCAACTCCCGTATGTAAATTTTTAACAGTGTGAGGGCAGACTAGAAATATAAGGTATTATCATGATTTGCTGAGTTCATTTTTTTTTTTTTTTTTTTTAACACTTCAGAATGGATCAATATGAAATACTTTGTAATAGAAATGTTTTTTTTTTTTTTTTTTTCCCCATTTATTAGAGCATCTTCAGTCAAGAATTCATCTTCTATTAAATGATTGTTAATTTGAAAATTAGTATCAATCTCTAAATTATGCAAGAGAACCCAATTAGAAATGCTTCTTAAAAGCACTTATTCCTTTAATCACCTATAATTTTTGTTCCAATATGAAATATTTATAAAACTCATGACTTTGTTTTAATGTATTTTAGATGTAATTCAATTTTTTTTTTTTTTTTTTTTTTTTCTTGGTTTTAATAGTCATGAAATTTCAACCATGTTTTAATTGAATGTTTCCTAACCAATTTCTTCTATTCAATTCTAATCTTTATCCAATTTTCTAATGTCATTATTAGGTATGTTACTTAACTGTAGTTAACTTATGCGAAAAGTTTACTTTTATTTATTTTAAACTTCCAAATGCCTTCTTACTGTAAACTATAAAGGGTTGATTTGTATATATTCAATACTAAATTTCTCAAAAAATTTTTCTTTGTGAAATGTTCTTTTATTTGCATTTAACATATATACTTTTATGTAATGAGATTTTAAGTTTTTGTAAACACTTAAATATTGCTAAACACAGTAAAATCTATAAGAACCAAGAATTTCCCCTTGTGATAATTTTAGTTGTTTTTGGGTGTGCATGATTACCTTGTATACAATTTATTCAGTAATTTCAATAAATGTTTGTTTTAATCATTGAAATATGCAAATTTTAAATGAAAATTTAAAAAATAACCCTCTTCATAAACTGGTAATATTTTTTTCTTTTCAATCTAGCATTTGTCTGAACTAAAATTGAATTTGCCTCTTAGAGTAACTTTCTCTAAGGCAATTCTGATCAGCTCTGTGTCCATCTTTTCAATAACTTCTTTTATCTAAGACAATTAGTCACATTTAAGTTCTCTGAAATAATTAGTGACAGATTTTCTTTTTCTTTTTTTTTCTTTTCACATTGGATTCTTGGAATGTTTGTGCTGGTTGATTTGTTAGACTGATTCAATGATAATATTGGAATTGACAAATTGTTAATATGTAATCTGGATTACAATTCAATAAATATTTGTAAAAATCTTTTTAGTTTTCAAGTTTTTATTCAAGTTTTGTTTTTTTTTTTTTTTTGTTTTTTTTTGTTTTTTTTTTTGTTTTTTTTTTTTTTGTATGGCTGACTTCCCACTCTATATCCTGGAATCAGTTTAAACTAACACTTTTTCTATATTGTAACCAATTTGTTTACAGTTAATATTTTCCAACATATTTTAGTGAAATTTTCACTTTCCAAAATTCTAGTGTATAGGACTTGTCAATTTTAAACTGACACCATAAGGATTAAACTTGATGCCAGTGTTCCCTTTTTATTTCTCCCTTGAAAAGGTACTGAGTTTGTAAGAATATAAAATAAACAATCTTAATACTTATTTCTATAATATCTTTAAATAGTATTATCGTGTTAAAAGGGGGGGGAACAGTCTTGCTATAGCAGTAAAATAAGGCTTAAGTTGTAACTTTCCTCTAGACATTATTTTCTGATGCACAAATATTATTTATGTTGCTTTTTGTAGTGTTTGCTTTACTTGGTACAACAGATTTTTACAAAATCATATCAAATGAATTTTTTTTGCCCATCTTGAGGGTATTTTAAATCAGTAAATCTTTAAACTGCAAGCAATTTCCACTCCATTTTGTATTCAACAAACAAGAGTTGAAGCTTATTGTTCAGTGAGTTTAATCAACCATTTATATTGGGAGAAAAACTCTTGACTATCAATTTCATAAATATTGTTTTGCATTGTAAGTGTACTTTCTGAAGCTTCCATCTTGATATTTTCACTAGAAATGAAAAAAAAAATGATTTTTTACAAACTTGGATACAGAATTAACTTGATAATCAAGAATTTTATAATTGGAAGCTAAGAATTATAAGGTCATGACTAGTGACAGGATAACAATGTTTTTTACCAATTCTGATACAATTCCGATGCTTTTCTGAATTTACAATTCCAATACCTACAATAATTAAAATTCATTATTTACAGTTGGTTTGGAAAACTTGATGAACAAAACTTTTAGTAGAAAAATGAATACAAAAGCTTATGAAATAGTTAGATATCATTTTTTATTTAAAAAAAATTGGGTAATATAGAGAACAATTTTTTTTATGTAGATCACTTAAGTACCTAGCTACAGTTTAGTTAGCATCAAAAATCTTAAACTTCCAAACTACATTTTTTTTTTCTGCTTGACATTTGATATACTTGCCATAATTGGGGTCTGAAAATAATGAACATTGGTTAAATTTTTCACTGTTAGATAAAGATTCTGTCTATATTTCTGAGATGAGGTATTATGTAGACTATTTACATTATTCAGACTATTGTCCTCATCTTTGTCACCATGTTTATCACATTTCAGCCTTCTGAACCCTTTATTTTGCTCACTGTTCTAATTCCATGTGCCATGTCTAATGGATGTCGGTAATCTCCTGTTAATTCCCCCCTCAAAGTTCTGCACCACCTTAACCAGGTATTCAACTCACTCTTTTGGTCCTGTCACTGGATCTAACATCTTTATCCACTGTGCCATGTTCTTGAAGAGGACATCTGGGTATTATAAATATAGAGTACACACATAGATATGGAACTAGAACAGTCTACCCCAGTGAGCAAAATAAAGGGTTCAGTTTGACATTCCAACCACCTGAAGAAGGCCAAAATGTTGTGATAAACATGGCGACAAAGATGAAGACAATAGTCTGAATAATGTAAATAGTATAGTTTCTAGTTTTCTAATGTGAATATTTTAAAGATTCAACTAATGGTTTGCTTTTTATTTTTTTTTTTTTTTTGTCCACCTTATATATTTTAAGTTTTAACAAGCAAAGGTGACCTATTTATATTATGCAATCTCCTTAAAATTTTTGTCATTTTCAATGAATGGAAAAAATTTAAAGGTGACAATCCAATTTCAGCATGCACTTCAGAAATAACACACACTGTGTGTGTGTGTGTATATAATATAATATATATATATATTGTTTTAAAAGAGAGCCCTGATATTTCCAATTGTCTCATCACTAGTCATGACATACCCTAACTTTTTAGATTCTCTTTAATTTACATAAGGAATGCTTTAACTTGATGGCTTTTATCAAAATTGAAACCTCTTTCTTTGCCTTCAGTATAAGCAAGTTTTATTTGACATTTAATCAAGGTACCTGGTTGGAACTTGACACTTGCATATAGAATTCAAAATATAGGCTGCATTTTTTGCTGATAATTTACTTAATATTTTCATTGCTGTGGATGTACTGGTGCATCTTGAAACTTACATTCCTTGCAGTCCACATATATTCAGGATTTTGTGTTATAAATTAACTAGTGTGTTAACTAGCATTGAGTACTATTTTCAAACCAGCCCAAACATATGCAAGCAGACGTTATATTTTTATTATAATTTTATGAGAAGGGTGTCACTTGTACACTAGAGTATTTGATAAAACTAAAATAACAGCCACAAGAAATTGCCATCAGTGTCTTTATAATAATCTATTTCTATGAAATGGCAATTTCCTGATTTTTTTTTGTTTTTTTTTTTTTTTTTCTCAAAACAATGCAGCAGTGAAACTGGTCATTTATATTTAAATTGTTCACAACTAGAGAATAAGCACCCCCCCTGCGCATTTGTCCACAGAATTATTTTTAATTGGTATAATTTGAAATTGCAATATTGTTCTAAATTAGTATCATTTTATTTCGCTCAGATATTTGTCATGTTTGAGAGACAAAAAAAAAAAAAAAACAAATCTTTTCACTACTTTACACTGAGCTGCTTAAAGAACTTTTATTTTTCAAAAGAATTTTAATATTAACAATAAATGAAGGGTTGCTATTTAAAAAAAAATAAAAATAAAATCTATTAAATATTAAGGAATAAATCTGTTGCATGAGCTTAATTAACTGAAAATGATTTCACTAAACTTTTGTCTTTAATAGATATGTTTCCCCAGTTATTTTATTCAAGACTTGCAACGTTTTTAAAAAAATAACTTTTTTTTTTTTTTTTTTTTTAAGCCCAAAAACTTAAACCTAATTTTTAAAAACTCTGCAAGTTTCTTTATTCATAATAAAAAAAAAAAAAAAATATCAGGTTTTCATGGAGGCAAGGGCTTGAATTTGAGAGCAACCATGAAATCTAATTTCAAGCAATATAGGAGAAAAGAAATTAGGAAATAAGAACAATGAAACCGTTGCAAGAGGTTACAAGAGAAATTTTAATCCAATATCTACTGTAATTATATTTTAATAAATGCTAACTATATCACTTTGCTTAACATATTGAACTTTCAGTAATCTGCCAGATAGTCATATGCCACAGTCTTCTTTACTTTTTGTTGACTCAACAGATTGTAAAGTGTCTGCTCCTTCCTTGAGAAATCACTTTTGTCATTCATGGGAAGATCCACTAAAATTGACTGCTGGTACATTGTGCCAGTTTCTGGTTCCACACTAATAGTGTTAGGAGCCTGGGCCAACTGCAAACGACGATGAAAATAAAAGTCCCTCCAGTTCCAATTCAATGGTCCTTGACTAAAACAATATTTTTGATGTGGAAGTTCATCACCATCTACATAATACATCACATAGAAGTTGCACATTTCATCATCATGTGTTGCTCTGAAAAATGAATAATTTGTAAATCTTTTAGCCTTTATTTGATAACATGTACAGTGGAAGGTATGTAATTTTGCAACTACAAATATTCAGATCACATTCATCATTTAAATTAACATTTGTTAATTATAAATTTATTGACACAGAAAAAAAAAAATTTATAAATAGTTATGTATTGTTCTTCAGTGAACAGGCTGATTGAAAAATTAAGTATGAAAGATAAATTAGTTGTTAGTTAATTATTTTTGATATTCCTTCTGATTCATAGCATTTCCTAAAGATTGTCTGGTACTCTTGTAAACATGAAATTCCCCTCCTCAGACAGTTTTTCATTAACTGGTTAGCTTCACCCCCACAATGTCTTTTGGTTCCCATTTGGACAAAAACTGGGAAGGCCTGGTATGTATGTTCAACAATGGAATGGAAGGTAAAATTCAGAGTGGGGGCAGGGAAAACACCTGTTTTCAATATACTGGCTGTAGGTGACAATTGAAACAGGGTTGGTGCTACTTTTTGTCTTCTCTCCTGATAGTAATTGACCAGATCTTCCATTTGTGTTGCCCATTTCTGATTGCAGCTGTCTACATCTCAATGAACAACTTATGTCTTTCCTCTGACTGCTGACTTGCACAACTACCACTTTAGTATCCATCTCTGGATCACACTTGGAGAGCTTATGACTTGCAAATGCTAGAATTTGGCCTAACTATATGAACTCACACTAAAATTCCTCACTTTCTGACCAAATGGCAATTGATCCCGAAAACATTTTTTATTTATTTACTATAATTACTCTTATTACTCCCAGCTTATGGGCAGTTGCTTTGAAATTTTCTTATCTTGATTTTTACTGGCAGTCATAAAACAACAGTTGCTTCAGGCCCAAATAAAATCATATACAACAACTTAACTATATGTATATTTGTATCTAATAACCTGAGCTTAGCATTACATAAAGCTAGGTTAGTAGAGTAGCCACTGATGATCAGCTTCACTAAGGAATTAGTAATACATTACATATGAATACTTCAAGTTGCTTTGTTTGATTGCAAAATCTTTGTAAAGTAGAATATATTTACCCAATGTAAACATCTTTGGTTCCATCATTTTTCATGGTGCAACGTGCTGCCTGAAAAATATTCCAGAAAATTCTTTAATAAAATAGAATCGTTTAAAGGCATAGAGTATAATATAATTTTTTTATAAATTGCTTTGTATAGATAATTATTTGAATTTATCTATATAATAATATTGATAAGTACAATTTTCTACAATTATTTGTTCATTTTTTCTTGTATTAGTTTGATGAATTAAAAATAAGCATTACATTTAAAAATAGAACTTTTTGCATTTGCTTCAGGTATCTGGAAGTATTGTTTCAACTCAATGTCACCTGATGCATTATGTATTACTTGTTAACTAACACATTTTTCCATCACTGTTTACACCTCATATTTCAATGTCTGTGCATAAATATCAACCATTAGACAATGTGTCTTCACTCTCTTGTTTCCATTATTTCTATTCCTTAGCATTTTTGATTGACAAAACTTAACTCAGAATATCAGATATGGTTTAAAAATCATTCTTTATGTTGAGTTCACGTCTCAATTTCATCATTCAGTCAACTTAGTACTTGTGTGTGTGTGTGTATATATATATATATATATAAACATAATTTATGAATTGGTATCAAATATGGATTAAATTCAATACAATAAGGAACAAACAGGAAATGTCTATAAATTTAATGTTTCATTTTTATTTAAGCTTCATCAGAAATTTTTGGAAACATTTTGTGGAAGAGAATATTTCAGCACATTTGAGTTCTGTGTTTATTTATCATTGGTCAGTTAGAGCTTGTATTTATGTCTTATGGTGTCAGTGTGGGCATTTCTATGCCTGTCTAGTAGTGTCGATGTGTTTAATGTCTGAAGATGGTAGTGACAAGAAAATGGTAAGAGTATGCCTGTGTGTGTATCAAATTTTTAGTTGGTCTTGCAGGAGTTTGTACATGTTTTGACTTGATTAGATGTACATTATTAATGTTGAGTTCATTTCTATGGTTGTGGAAAAATCATGTGTATTAGGAAATTTGGATATGTTAGTGATATTAAAAAAGTGTTTAGCATGTGCTTATCAATTAATATTTCCTTTGTAATAAAGCATGATCTTTTTTTTTTTATTAGGGTGGCATTTTTTAATTCAAATTTATGGCCTGTTGCAAAGGCCTGCAGCATACCTACAACTATTTAAATTCATTGGAAAGGTGTTACACCACCACTGGAATCTCCAGGAATCAGGCATGCCTTCCTCAATTTTGTGCCATGTCTCATTAAAAGACAAGATTGATTCCAGCCTTGAAAGGTTAGAAATGTGTAATATAATACTAACTGGAGTATGGTTTTGTAGCTATTCCAATGTGAAATATATTAGATTCTTTGGAATTAATAACTCTTATAGAAGGAAATATAGCCCCAGAACTGAGCAAAGATTGCATTTGGGTGGGTGTGGTAAGCATAGTGAGGAGCCAAAATATTATATCCAGTAACATGTCAGTGTCAGAAGTATATTTAAATGTAGATGGTGGCTGTACTTCTGTTATGGACAAAGAAAAAAGATTTGTTGTGGCCATGAGATAAGGTTTTGAGCATTTCCAAAATGCTAAAGCATGTGGAAGGCACACATTTTAGTTGTGGTGAGTACCTATCAGCAGTGGGTCTGAGGAGAACAAAAACACTAACCACTAATGGGGTATTTGACAGCCAAGACATCTATCAAATATGAATGAAAAAAATGGCTAATGTGATACAAACTGAACATAATTAAGGTCTGAAAGAAGGAATGCTTTAATGCATTCTATGTTGATCCTTATTGTAACAGATCACCAGATCTCAATTCCATATTTATAGCAATAGGAATGTTTTAATTCCTGAACACAGTCAATGCATTGTGGCCATGTTCATAACTGATATTATTAAATGTTGTTTGAAACTAGATGTTAGGTGTGGGTGAAATTTAGTATAAAAAAGACAGAAAATGTAAAATAAAACCTGAAAAACATCAGAGATAATAATAATTATTTACTGACCAGAATGTCTCCTTGATTAATAGTTAAACCAGGGTTTGTGACATTATAGAACATCTGAAATATAAAAACAACAATATATTTAATAATATTTAAATATAAATGTTATTATAGTGGATACTCATATTTGAAATAGACACCCTATTTTTACTTTAAACCATGTGTATTATATCTACTAGCCTGCACATTCTAAAAATTCTAATAAAAAAAATGTGCTATCCAGCAAGCATAAGAGAAAACACTGATCCATTTTGATAAATCTCTTGATTGTGCTGAATTAACTCGGATAACATGAACAATTTTGTGGCATGACAAATCTATTGTTATTACTACACCTGATAATGGTGACAGTGTAGAGGTATTGTATTATGACGATTATGTAAACAAAATGATATCAGTTTTGGGAGACAGTAAAAAACTTATGTAATTGAAACCATGCATAAGAAGACCAAGGCTCTACAACTGAGATTTCAGAAATGTTTGCTCAAGTTAGTTAAGAACAAAGATATTTCAGTGGACGTTTATGAGGTTATTAGGCCCATGGGTTCTTCAATTTTAGAGGTTGTCTTCATTGTGTTTATGAAATTTACAACAGAGCTTGTGGAATTTAGTTTTAATAGCATGATGTATAGACAAATCGATGAGATTACTATGGGTAGTCCTTTGAGACTGGCTCTGGCTAACATTTTTGTTGGATTTACATCTAGTAAATCCATTATGTTATTACAGATGTGTGGGTGACACATTTTACATCTTTGATAGTGAGAAACAGTCAGAAGTGTGTTTCATGTGTTACTTAATGATTTGAAACTGTCTTTAAGATTCACGTGTGAAAAGTGAAACAATGTAGCATTGCCTTTTCTTGATGTATTGGTACACTGGTTAGATACTTGTTTTCTGACTTCTGTGTACTGTAAACCTACCTTCAATGGATTGTATACTCACTGGGACTTGTTTTGTCCTAGACAACAGAAACTTAAACTGATTAAAATGGTGCATTGAGATTTGAAAATTTTCTCTCAATCTAAGTTACAATTAGATACTGAGTTTGTCACAAGGGTGTTACAAGATAATGGTTACTCACTGGATATGTGCAATCTGGCATTCATGCAATTTAATAAAACTAAATTGTTTGGTCCAGAGAAGTGTCCAATTTATATTTGTAATTTCCATGGATTGGTAAGTTTAGCACTAGATTTACTAAGTAAATCTCTTGAAGTGGGAAATTTTGCTATTTTTCTGCTAATCTACAAATGATGTTTTTCTCCCAACCTGTATTGAGATTAGTTTGTAAGGATGTTCTGCCCCAACATTATGTGAGCTCAGTTATTTATAATTACGAATGTCAGTGTGAAGCTGAATATATAGGTAGAACTAATCAAAGGTTTGAAACCAGAACAGATCTAGGCTCTGTCATGAGAGATGTGATAATTTACTTAAGCTGGTTAATAGTTTAGGTTCAGTGATTTCTAAATATCTAATAAATAATTCAATGTGTGCTATGTCATTACCATTACCAGGGATTTCTTTACCATAATTAGAAGAGCACACTGATTACCATTTGAAGATATTAGGGATATTATACATTAGGTCGAGGCAGCCTTCCCTGTGTAAGCAGAAGAGATGACTGCTGGGACTTAATGTAATTGGAGTGTGATTATATATATTTTTTCTCTTCTGCTGATTCCCAGGCTGTCCTTAATTGTTTTTTTTAATGTTGTGCACACAATTTACACATTTGTCCTAGATTGGTTCTAAAGAGCAAGGATTAAAAAAACAGCCACTTTGTTATTTTCTTGTATATTGTTATTATTTTGATCCACCTCTTTATTGAGATTCATTTTATTATCCTTGCTCTTCCCCCGTTTGCTATTTTTTAATACAATTTTAATATGTCCGTTTTTATAGCATTAGAATTTTTTGCAATATGAAAATCCTCACAGTATTTAGTAATGTTGAAGTTACTGCTAACACTTTTTGTCAAGATTTACAAACTCTACATTTCGTTCAATTTCACAAATCAATTGAGGAAATTGGAATAGGGTGATTTGTTTGCAAATATACTTTGGCAAAATTCCTACTCCGTGGTTTTATGTTTGTACCCACTTACCTGTTTGTACTTTTCCCCAAAATTTGGTTTCAATTGGTCAATGTATGGCTATTTCTGAGTCTGTGATTTTTGTACGGACAAACTAATGGAAGTCAAGGAATTTTATATATAGATTAATACCAGAATTGGTAAATGGTAAAAGATTATGAAATAAAAGATCTGAATTGATAGCTAAAAGAAGCATAATAACAAGTATTTGCTTTGCCATCTCCCACCTGATGGTTGAGTTTTTTTCTATCTGTATCCACCTTTTTTTCTTTTTTTTTTTCTTTTTGTAGTTCAGACTTTCTAACCTTTTCTAATGCTATCACCCAGGTTTCTTCAACTGTTATAGAATCAAAGACTAAAAAAATTAACAGTTTCTATCATTTACAATCAGACATTCCCTCCAGAATTTTAAAGTGAGAATGTAGGTGAATTTTTACCAAGATCATCACAAATTCCTTTTTGTTTTTTTAATTGACTGTGGATAAGTGAAATAGCAGCTGATATGAAATTACTTTGAAATGTTAAGTATTTTTAAATACTCACATCTTTTGAATAGCCACTACATTTTCATGTGTATAAATTGGAATACTTGTTAATATAATAAAAAACGTTGAGTATCACTATTTGTAAAAACATTTTCTTACTTGAGGTAGTTGAGGATTCTTTCGACCAATTTCTTTCCATTTCCCATTATGAATAACATAACCAGAGACAACTTTGCCTAAAGAGAAAAGTAATTCAGTCATATTCACTCACATTGCATGAAAATTATTTTATTATGAATTTTAAATGTCTTTTATCAGATTTATGATACTTCTTTTAATGAAAAGCATTTTACCAAATTAATGCACCAACAACTTTAATTTATTTAGCAACAGAATTTTATGGATGAAACACTTATTAAATACTATATTCCTTGTGCTGGAAAAAAAAAAAGAAAACAATATTAATTGATCTCTATGGTTTCAATAAATTGATTTTTTAAATTTGTCAATGATAAAATACTAGAATTGTTAAACAATTTTTTTGTAATTTCAAGATAACATTTTTATTAATTTATACTAATGGTAATAGTATAGTACTTGGTAAATCTTCTGATGAACTAGCCATTGAAAAAATTGAAAAAATGTGTTAATGAATTTGCATTTTCCTTTCTACATGAATAGTTTTAATAATCATATCGTACTTCTGTCTTTATTCAATTAGTGAGATTTGTTTACCAAATTCTTTTGTAAATTGACTTAAACATACTTAACTATTGAATTACACACTGACAAGCAAATACCATTTCTTTATTTTCAAAATAAATTATATTCAAGTAATATTCTGTTTACGAACTATTTCTTTTCATAAGCATCATATAAAAAAAAGAAAGTAATTAAAGTTCTTTGTAATTATGAAGAATACAGAATGAAGAAACTTTCTATTTTTCTAAATATAGGTACTTCCATGAAATCACTAAAAAATCAGCATACCATGAGGAAAATATGCTTCAAATGTAATGAAAACAAAGTTTTATTATCAAAATCTTTATGTTATTATTAAAAGGAAGGGTCAAAGTATTTTTTGAATGTTTGATTAAATTTTTAGAACATTCGAAATTTTGATTAAAAATTTGTTTTTCTTGTGTCAGCAGTCATACTGATTTTAGCATAGCAAATTTTAGCTTCTTTTTTGTGATGACAGACACATTAATTTGGAAATTCTTGTAAAAATCAAATATTTGTTGGATTTTAATGAAAGTTTTTCAAATGAATTAAATTATTTATGAAAATTTTTAGTATTTTCACCCACTTACTTAATTTTATGAAAACTTGAAAATTCAATGTGATAATTTTTTGTGACTATATTAGTTAAAATTAGAATTAATTCACCTAATTTTTTTTGCAAAATTGAACCCCATCTTACAGAAAATCTGTTCTGAATTGAAAAATACAAATCCAATAAAACTAAGAGATTATTTAATTAGTGTAGCTTTTAATTGCTTTTATCTATAAGATATATTAAAGCATAAATTTTTACAAGATTTGTTTTCAGTTTTTACAATTTTAAATTGAATAATTTATAAAGTTTTTAAATCTTTTAAAATTCATTTTCAATGTAATAACTCTTTGGAAATATTGTTATTAAATGAAATTATATTTACTAATCATATATTGTAAAGCTTATTACAATCTGATGACCCTGAATATTTTTAAAAGAATTTTGATTTGTTTTTGTATGTGTATATACATGCAGAATTTCTGAAGTATGGATGGACAAACTGATAAATCTATCCTTAAAAGGTGACATGTTGAGAAGGTTACTCCCCACCCCTTATAAACTTTATTGTCTGCTCCACCATACTTAACTATGGACACATTCAGCTGTCAATAAATCGATTAACATATCAGAAAAAGAAGACTCCAAGGTTAAGAAATACTTGTATACAACTTTTAATGCTATAAGTAATATTTGTTTCAAATCAGATAAATTTAACTTTAAATTTGCTAATTTTTCTCAAATAACATTTCAGAAATATATATTTTATTTTTGCAAGATTTTTGAAACTGAGAATTAACTTTTGTTTATAAATCTGTCAAAATGGCCGATTTTTATCGATTTTACTGAAAAAAATCAATTCCAATCAATATAAATTCTGTTTGAAATACACCACAGAGTATTTTGCTGACTGGAAATAGTAAAATTTAAATCCTTTTAGCTGTCAATTAAAGCTAAAATGAAAGCTTCAAGTAAGCTTTTTCATTTCTAAAAATTCATTTTAAACCTTACATATACTGAATTAGTGGAGGTACCTATCTAAATATATAGGAAATATCTCCATTTTGAATTTTTCATAATGTGAAGTAAGAAACTTTGCTTGAAAGCCATGGAATTCAATTTAAGATTTAATCAGGAAAATGTGATAAATATGACTATAATTATTTATTGTAATTTCAAGATAACATTTTTATTAATTTTTACTAATGGTAATAGCATTAAAATTCATTGTATTTGGCAAATCTTCTAATAAACAAGTCATTTGAAAATTGGAAAATAGGTTAGCTAGATTCTTCTTGCAACATGTTCTATTTTCATCTTGAAATATAAATATCATTTAGTTGGTCACTAAAATGCCTGATAAAAGGATAATTATTTTTATGCTTATTTATGTTTTTCTCTTAACTAAATTGCATTTAATAAAAATAAGTAGAAACTTACCAAGCTTATGTGTGTGGGTTCTGTAGGCAAAGGGATGAAGAACAAATTTATTATAATACAGACAGGCAGTTTCCATATAAACTGAAAAATAAAAATATTAAAAAAAAAGGAACATTAGCCAACATTATGATTAGAAATAATTTTAAAATTAAATTATTCTATTTGCTAACATTGAAATGTTAATAGATTTTCCAAAAATTTAATAAATTTTAAAACAGAATATATATATATATATATATATATATATATATATATATATATATATATATATAACATTTTACTATTGTAGGGGGGTTATAAAACTGAGTAAATAATTATGAACCCCCTAACATCTATATATACTAAAATACTCGAAAAACTGAGAAAAGCAAAATGTGGAAACAAAACAAGTATTATTTATTATCTGGTTGTTATATGGAGTTTGAGAAATGAGAGTAATACTGAGTAAAATTGTGAGTTTGGGGTCAAATGTAAATCAAATATGGATTAGAATCTGAAAAAGTTAAGAATAAGCAAAGTTTATACAGTCTTTCTCATATATTTTTTATAGATGTGTGTAATGAGTGTCCAGATAATTTACTTGGAAAAATACAAGTGTCTGGGGTTTTCTTACCTCAAATTTTTGTTGAGTGCTAAAAGATAAATATTACTATTTTGACCTGAAAAAGGAAAAGGAGCCAAAATTTTGTTGATGCACATGTTGATGACCTGTCCATGTGAACTGCTTGTCAAATAGAATGTCACATGTTTGTGTGTGTAGAGGAGTAAAGTGGGTTTGATTCTTGTTGGTTTAGAATGAGTGAATTAATGATAATTATAATTGTTATAATTATTTTATAATAATTATTTTTTGACACTATAATTAATTTTTATTTATTTATATTATTATGGACACAACACTAATGATTCCAACAGAGAAAACTCTATAAAAACTACAAATTGGAAGAATACCAACAGCGAAAAATATTCTTCAAAAATTTTGATATTTTTTTAATCATTTCACTCCAAGCATGTTGATAAATCCATTAAGATGAAAGGGGTTTTACTGATAGAGAAAGAAAGTAAGAAAACATTGAGGAAAGAGACCAATAAAAAGGACAGGATTCAAAAAGGCAGATGATGACAATTGACATTACATTTAACTTTTTCAAGATCATAGTAGTCCGGAAAGCAAATAGCCAAAATAGAGTTCCACAAGTGAAGAAAATGTTAGCATAGAACTTACAGTTACATCTTGCAATTTTGACAGTAAAATGACAAATAACATTATAGGCCCTTCTTTGGATTCTCTCAAGAATCTATAGTAACATAGCAGAAACACCAGACCGGTATTTATTATTCATTTATTCAGTAGATTTTAGTTATTATTTGTACTATTATTTTTGAAGGAATTTAAGTGTCTACAAAAGTAAAAATATTTTAAATATATCAGTGTAATGCTCAATATTGTCATCAGAAAATATAGTTACATTGTGAGAAGTTTGCTTTCATTCTGAAGATGAGGCAGAGAAATATGAAATATTTTTGGAAATGCATAGATACAAAAATAATATGTTAAAACCTAATGAATTAGAAATAAGAAAAATAGAATAACTCACTTTTTTCAGACACTGGGAAAGAAAACAAAGATGAGTAAACACAGGAAAAAAATATGAACTTGAGATAGATAGCCCAGAATTGAAAGCTAAATGGAAAAGATCATAAAAACCTGTAATATTATTTTATGCAAAGCTTACATCAACTTAAAACAGATTTTCCAAATCCCAAGGAGTTCTGTATTTGTACATTTTGTCTGTTATATTAACTTACCAGTTGAATGTCGGGGAATAACACCATCTGTTCCCAAGAGATAAACACCAGCTGTACGCTTTGTTCTAAAATTTAGATTAAAAAATTTTTTTACAAATATAATTTTTAGCAATTTTCTGAACAAATTTATTCAAGTACAGCTTTGTATTTTAAAGAAGAATTTTTTCATTTTCTTATTAAGTGGAAAATGTTTCAAATTCATTTGAAGCTTATCTAATTATTCATCATGATCAAATTATACAAAAGTTATTTTGCAAAAGAATCTGTAAAATCTTATACCATATTTGCTGGTATTAAGGATGCAGTTTTTTTCCTGAAATTATAGGAATTCAGTTTACCATGTGGCACAGATAACCTTCTTCTCCAGCCTGCAAGAACCATAACCTCAAAGTCTCACAGAAAATTTTTAATATTTATTTCAGAAAAAAAATGATCCTTGATGGTGGCAAATATAGTACATTACAGCTATTTTTCTTTCAGAGCTAATGTATGTAACTTTATAAACTCATACTAGTATTTTTTTACTATTTAGACATTTTAAGTACTTTTTTGTTTTGTCTAGAGCAATGTTAAACTAAAAAAGTCAAAATGCGACCATGCCATTGTTTAAAGGTAAATTCTATTATTAAATGATGGAAGAAATACCAAAGTAAGTGAAATTTTAAATGTAATTTGATTTAGTTTTTTCTCTTATATATAATATTGTCTTACTTTTCTTTTGTAGTCAACAAGGTGAGTCCAGAGCTGTCAGTCTGGTTTTCTGAAAATATAAAGCAAAATTTAACATATGAAAAGTAATTTAATATTAGCAGTAATTTAGTATAGTTTCTGTTACTACACAGTTAAAGAAAAAAATGATTTCAGAAAGCAATTTGGCAATTTAAGAGTAAATTTAATAAAACTAACACTCAAGAATTCTAATGTCTTGAATAATGAACTGCTAAAATATAACTGATTTACTTTAAAATATGCCCCCACTGACACAAGAAGATCCATATGTATATAAAACTAATTAAGAATCACTTACATACATTAGTTACTCAAGTTTTTCATCTTTTGTTAAAGCAACAAATAAGTCAGTGTCCGTGAATATAAGATTCAACCTTTAGCAGAGTATAACAGTGTTGGGTTAACTTTACTTCCTCTTACCCAATTAGTATACCATCTGGTTGACTGGTCATATGAGCCTTAACAACCAATCAGTTAAATCCAATTTGTATAGAGGTTGGAATGTAGAACAAAGTTCTGTTATTGCTCCAAGAGTAGTGTTGGTAAGTTTGTCTCAATATGTGCTGCTGAAGATATGTCATAGGCATCAGAAATGGAAGCTTTCCAGGTGGTGTTTCTTCTTAGTGTATGTCATCCAGTTTTTGCTGCCATAAAGCAGCATTCTAAGGATACATGCCTGGAATACTTTTAGTTTGGTGTGCAGGATCAGCTAACTATTGTCCCATACACTTTTGCTCAATTTGGCCATCACTATTGCCACTTTGTCAATATATCTGTCAATTTCCAGATCAAGCAATAAGTTATTGTTGATGATAGAGCTCATATATGAGACTTCAAGCACCATGTTGCCAATGCTGAAGGAGATGCAGGAATATCCTGATCCATGAACTTAGTTTTCTTCATGCTAAATAGTCTGCCTAAATTCCTTTCAGGTATGGGTGAAGTAGCTTATCAATTGTTGGAGGTCCTGTTTAGTTTGCATGGTCAAAACTGCATCATCAGCAAACAACATTTCTTTGATGATGTTCTTCAGGCAGGCCAAGTTAAACAGTTTTCCATTTTTTCTGGTGTGTAAATATATGCCTTATTCAGATTGTCTGAAAATGAAGCTCAGTAACATAGAAAAAAATGGCAAACAAATTCAGTGCAAGAATGCCTCTTTGTTATACACTCTGAACTGTGAAGGGAACTGAAGTTTTCCCTATTGTAGCTGACTACATTCTACATATCCTCATGGAAGGAAACAATGTTCAACAACTGTGGGGAAGAGTCAATTTTCTTTAATAGCTGAAACAGACATTATCTGCTAATACGGCCAAATACCTTTGAGAGATCAATGAAGGTGAGTATAGTGGCATCTGCTGTTCACTAGATTTCTCTTGGACTTGATGTACAGAGATCATGTCAACAGTGGGTTTCTTAGCCCTAAATCATAAATGCAATCAGTAATTACTTGAAGTCAAGTTAAGACCATTTGGGCAAAGACTTTTTTTAACAGGAAGATACTCCAATAGCTATTACACTCACTATGGGTGCACTTCCTTGTTTTTATATAGGGTAATAATATTGGCATTGTCATGTCCTGAGGAACTTTGCCTTCTCTCCAACAGAAGAAGAGAAGACTATGTAGTGGTTTCAATAAAGTTGATTTAATGCTGACCTCAAGTGGTATGCTATCTTCACTTGGTGCTTTTTCACAAGTTAGAGCATCAATGGCTTTTCCTGAGCTCTTCCTCTTTAATTTCAGTCGAGCTCTTCCAGGATTCACAGGTCCTCATTATCATCATGCAATTCGTTGTTGATAGAATTTTCTCTGGAGTAAATGTCTAGGTAGTGCTCAATCCACAATCTCATTTGCTTGTCTTTGATTTTGGGAATTCAGTTTTCTTTGTTGGTTTATCTGTTGCTTGTTTAATACCTCATACATGTTCCTGGTGTTTGCTGGTATCGTGTACATTTTGCTGGGCCTTGCATTATAGAAGCCTTATAAATTGACTCACTAGTATTTTTTAAAAATTTTACACTGATTCTCACCAGCAACTTGTTTGATCTACAAATTTAGCATATCTTAGCAGTCCTTGGATATTTAATGACATAGTAAGAGGGATTTGTTTCAGTAGTTGGACATCAATAAGTAGTGGTTGATATTAAGCTGTGTATTTATATCATTTGGTGTCCTCAGTAAAAACACCTTACGAATTGCTGACTGGGCAAAATGTGGCTCAACTTATAATCAGTCATACATTTCCTGCAGATAGACTGACTGAATTAATATTTTTACAGTTTTCTAATCTAAACATCAGAAAAGCTTTTTATCATTATTCAAAAATTACCATTAAGCCAACCAAGTCAGCAGACATTTCTATAACTGTTTCCTGTTTTATTTTTAATAATTATAGAGAAATCCTGAAATAAAAATACTTACGCGGTGGAAGAAATTTTTCCACATTTTTATAGTGAATCTGCATAACCAAATACTGAACATCGGAATTTCCTCCCACTTTAAATGCAACACCTAAAACAGAAATGGGATATTGGAGTAGACAACCTAGTAATGAAAAAAAAATATTCATTTTACAAAAGAAATATATATTTTTCAATATAACCTGCATTTTACACAAGAAATGTATTTTTTAATATAACCCCCTTCTTGTCAACACAATTCAGCAGAGAATATTAACCATACAGGGCCAGATTTAAATGAAGAGAGGCCCTAGGCTATTCCACTTGTGAGGCCAAATCTCTCCTTCTCTCAAGTAGAGGAAAATGGAAGAGTGTTAAATTAAACAATTTCAGTAAAGCAGAGGATGATGACAGGTATTTAAAATTCCACAGTTGATAATTCTACCTCTAAAGGACATAAGATGTTATTGTTAAACACAGTATGTGATTGGAAAAAATGCATGAATATTAAGATTTTAAAACATCTATAAAGAAATCAATGCTACCATCGAGTTATTGGCTTAAGACTGTATTATTCTGAAATGGAATGTAAGGAAAATTACTGAAGGGTTGTTTACAGTCTACAATGCATTATGACAGCATGTGTAAGAAACAGCTATGACATTTTCAAAAATATTATACATCTTGGCTGGAGGACCCTTAGATTTTGAGGCCCTTTTAAGCCTATAGGTAAATTCAACATTGCATACAAATTAAACCTTATACAATGAAATTTCAGATAAAAATTCAGCTGTCAGGCTATGGATTTATCAATCCACACTTGTAAAATTAGAATGATAAAATAAGTGCAGGAAGCCTTTTTAAAATATACAACATAATAAATAGGAAAAATGTGAACATACGCCCAAGTCCAGTTTTTCACCAGCTGGTCAGATTCTGCTCTACATTATGATTCAATTCCAATTTGTGTCAGTGTGAACAAAACTTGGAAAGGCCCAGTGTGTGTTCAACAAAGAACCTGAAGGTGAGATATTGCACAGGGAGAACATTCCTGAATATTGGCATTTCAAAATATTGCCTTGGTAACAAAGACAAGAGGTCTATTGGTTCCAATAAGTATTTATTCATGGGTTCAATTCACCAGGCACAGTCTGGAGTTAGGTAAGTGACACTTGGGACATCTCTGCTGCTACTTCTCTTACAAAACACCAATGAATCAGATGTTCCCTTTGGCTTGTGGGAACTTCATTTCTGGCCAACTCTCTATCTCTTCTTATTCTATCCATGACTCTAATCGTTATCTAGAGTATAGCTTGATTATATATATATATATATATATATATATATATATATATATATATATATATATATATTTTACATGTTTCACCCAAGCAAGGTGGTAATGCCAATAGTATGAAGGGTGTTACAGGAAGTGAACATGAAAGAGAAGACTGAGAATAGGAAGAATTGAGGAAAAGACAAAAGATGAATGTGATTCAAGAAGACAGAAGATGGTGATTGATGTTGCATTTAAACTTTTGAAGATTGTAATTATCAGGAAAGCATGGAATATTGTGTTAGAATTGGCAGTTGCATATAGCTATTTCAACAGTAAAAGGGTGGGACCTAGATGCCATTCTAGTAACATACTTGAATTCATGTAGTCAGGGCACCAGGGAAAAAAAAACAACTTATCAGAGCAGTTGCCATGAAAATATTTGTAGAAAAGACAGGGAAGCCATGTCATGTCAGTGAGAAGTGACTGAATTTGAGATGCTTGGTCAGGATCGATTACATTACAGATCTTTCCTTGGATTTTGCAACAATCTCTAGATGTACATCAGGAGCAACAGGCCAGATATAGTAACAGTATTCAATACACAGATGAATGAGAGATTTGTAAATATTCAAGATGGATTCTGACAAGAAAAATTTTTTGGCATGACAGTGACCCAAATTTCTTTGCAGTAGATGCAGCTATTGATTCAATGTCGTCACTCCACTTCATGTAAGTGAAAAACATGAGGCCAAGAAGCCATAGTGTATTGCTCTCCTGGAGTCTAGCATCATCCATGCTGATGGCAGGCAGAAAAAAGTTCTTTATGGTGGTTAAATGGAAGCAATTTTTTTTGGAGGCATTAAAATTTACAAGCCATTTCTTGCTCCAGTTAACCACTGATTAGAGATCTCATCCAAGAGCAACTGCCAGGTTTACTTTGTCAGATTTGCTATTTAGACAGGAGTAAATGGTTGTGTCATCTGCACAAATACATAGTTGAGAACTGGTGATATCAGGGGAGATCCTTGAAACAACATAGCACCCATGATGATAGAGCCTTGGGAGACCCCCCCACACACACACACACATTTGCATGAAAAAAATCTGGAAATGATCCCAGTCTAAACAACCTTCATTTCATGATTTGATAGGAACAACTAGAGTAAACCAAAGATTTGTCCTGTGACACAGTAGCCCTGGAGTTTGCATAGAAAGCCAGCATGTCATACCATGTTGAATGCCTTTGAGATATCTAGATTCACAGTCTGAGCTTCACCATTCTTATCTAGAGCTTGATGTTCAAATTCAGTGCTGGCTGTTAACACATTAGCAATAGACCTGGCAAAATGGAAGCCATATTCTTTGTCTGAGAGGAGATCGTAAGAAGTAAAATGCTTAACCACTTCAGCATTGATTAAAGCCCCAAATACTTTGCCAAAAAGTGGTAAGAGACTAATAAGGTGATAATTTGAGGGTTCTTCAGAAAAATTCAAACTAAATTTAAAAATGATAGATACCTCTGAGAAACTGTTTATCAACAAGTCCTGGGTTCAGCTTTCCAGTTATGTTTTAGAATTAATTCCAGATAACTTATTTTAGAATGCTGGTCATCAGCCCACAGGATAATTAAACATACTATGTTCAGTTTATTGCTGACATTCTAGTCTATTTTAGGACTTTTGTGAATATGATTAGAATTTCCTACCTTCCAGCTGAGTGTCACTTGATCCCAACATTTTTTATTTATTTTATTTTCTCTACTTCTGGACAATGGATATTGGAAAGTCCAACATCTAGATTTTGCTGTTGGCTGTCATAAAACTGTTGGTCATTCTGATATATTCATAAAGAATTCAAAGTGTCAATTGTGTTGATATCCCCAAGATTATACAAGAGAAACATTCTTTGGTGTGACACAATAGATCTCTGCTTAACAGGCTTAGAAAAAGATTTTATCTGGGCCTTAAGTGCAGGACATTTTTTATGACAACTGTTGTGGAGTAAATAAGACACCTCGATAACACAAATGAACTAAGCAAGACGCTTTAAATAAAGAATTCAAAGTCAGTGAAGGAGAAAGAGTTGACAATGTTATAGCAAGTAGCCTAAGCAAGACATAATATTATAACCACTAGGAATGAGTTATAACAGTGCCAATGAGGGATTGAAACTCATACAAGTAGGAAAAAGTACTTTTTGCTTTGGCACACATGATGTCAACAAGAAATTAAAACCACGTTGGTTTAATTTTTTTTCTTTGTGGGTGTATAAAAAAGAAAAAAGAGAGAAAGAAGTAAAAAAAAACCCAGATATTCTTTAATTATGGAAGAATTATTAGCCCAAGTAGTAAAAATACAAGAACAGGAACAGCATCAGTTGTTGAAACTCCAGAAAGAACAACAAAATTTAATTGAAATAATATGGAAGAAAATGGAAAATTCCTCAAATTCTTTTACTCCTGATGTAGTGGCAAATGCCATAACTGAATTCACATATAATTTTCTGCCTATTTTAGAAGATACAAGCAAATGTTTAGAGAAGAATGCCATGATGGGGAAGACAAGAAAAAAACATTTGTTGAGAAAATTAGCACTGGTAGAACATGAAAAATACTGTAATTTTGTACTACTGCTTTGCTTTAAAGAAACAGTAAATATTTTGACTAAAATTTTTAGAGAGAGAAATTCATTCTTCAATACTCGTTGGAAGTGTGTATGTATCTGAGAAAAAAAGACAAAGATTTTTGTCACATATACTGGAATCATTAACAAGAAGTGTGAAAGGAGGTTAATGGCGAAAAAAAAAAGATACAGAAATATGTGCTAGAATTCTAAGAAAACTAGAACAGGATCAAAAACTAACACTACAAGAAATATTGGATGAATCTCAGAGAATCCTAAATCTGAGACACGGTATGGAGTAAATTGAAGTAAAAAAAAATGTGCATATATGCAAGCTAAAGAAAAATATGGAAAAAGAAAAATGAATCCATATTTCAGATGTGGAAGGTTACATTTCAGAGACGGTGGTCCCTTTAAGAATTCAAAGTGCTACAATTGTGAAAAAGTAGGACATAAAAAGTCACACTAAAGCACTTGAGTCAGAAAAAATAATTACTGAAAACCAAAGAAAATCTGTGTATGTGAAAATTAATAATGTGGATGTAAAAATGCAACTAGACATTGGTAGTGATATTACAATAATCAACAAAGCCACATGGAAAGCAAACAGAAAATCCATATTAAAAAGAACTTCAAAAATCACATGTAGTGTGTCAGGTAAGAAATTATTTTTTATTGGCGAAATGATTTGTAACATTTTATTTTATAACAAGTGTGTAAAAGCCAATGCTTATGTGTTAAAAATAGTACAAACTTATTCAGTAAAGACTGGATGGGATTATTTGGGTTGTGGGATTTACCTATAAATATTTATTGCAAAAACATATGTGGACAAGCCACTAGTTTTAAAAACCAGTGTGAAAAGTTAAAGAAAGAATTGAAAAAAATGTTTTCCGGATGTTCTGTCAGATGAATTGGGTCAGTGTTCCAAAGTCAAAGTGAAATTTCAAGTGAAAAAAGGGTTGACACCAGTGTTTAAACCAAAATGTAGTATACCATTTGCAGCATTGGATCAAGTCAACAAAGAATTAGATAGACTTGAAAAAATAGGTATAATTGAAAAGATTGACCATTCAAAAGGGCAGTACCAGCAGTAGATGTATAGAAAAAAAATAATAAAATTTGTATTTGTGCTGATTTTTTTGACAAGGTTAAACAAATGTTCAGAATCCCATATCTACTCATTATTAGTTCAGAGGAAATTTTTGAGAA